ACAGGCATGTTTTCAGTGGAGTAATGAAGCAAAAAGGCTGATTGGATTGGCTTTAAGAAATAGGCAGAAACGAGGAAGTAGATGCTTGTTGAATCGGTGAAGGTTGGTTAAATGAAGAAATGATGTCTTAGAGAGGATTCCATGATGGGTCAAGAACCAAAATAGATAAATGAGTTATTTTGATAAATGAGTTATTTAAGTTTCCAAGTAGAAACGAGGATGTGATTTGGGGGTGCAAAGCTTTCCTTACGTGACAAGGGAATTCAGAGTAGGATTACCAAGGCAGCAGGGTTAGTCCAGGGAGGGTTCTGTGTGAGGTCTGTTGTGCTTGCACTTTATTGCCTTCTGGCTCCAGTTCATAAAGGCCTTTATGGATTTCGGGATTTCCCAGAGGGGCCTCAGGGCAGAGCTGAGACTTGCAGAGACTTGGAGGCAGATTTTGAGAGACTATTTCCAAACACCTCTGGCTGTGTATGAGGCTGGCTCTCATCCTTGTGGGAGCCAGGCAGCACCAAGCCTGCATAGTGAGGAAGAGGTGAATGGGAAAAACCTGACCTGACCCATCCAATGCAGTGTATTTGAAAAAGCTGTATTTCAAAGTATTTCTATATAAAAATTTTATGTTAAAATAATAATAGAAATGGGCTATGTGATCACCTAGATTTGATGAATACGTAGGCTGTTCATACGTGTTCCCCGCTGGAGTACAATAGTAATGAAGTATGGAGAATACAAGCCTGGGTAGACCAGATACGAGCTTGATTTTTGTGCTGTCCTGGACCTATGTGATATTCCTCAAATAGTCAAAGTTTCAAAAGGCTCTTTGGTACAGATCCCATACAGAATGTGTTTTTACTTACATGGCTGAGGACAATACATTTCCCTTTATAGGATCATTTATGGGGACATCCAGAGCCTGGATTGTGAAACAGAACCAGACATAGATGAATGGAAGAACCTCTTTGTCATCCCATGTTTCCTGTAGTTCTCCAAACGCATCATGTGCTCTTGTTTGTGCCTTTGCCTGTGCTGTTCCCTGTACCCGGAATACCCAAATCCCCTTCTCCCTGGCGTTCTTAGCTCTGAGAGTACCTTCTCTAGGAGGCAATCCTCACCCACTCAGAGATCCTCTCTCTGTGCTTCCCAAACCATCGTATGTCGCTCCATCTCTACACCTACCACAATGAACTACAGTTGTTTACACTTCTGGCTCTCTCGTTGGGCTCTGAGTTTCTGGAATTCCATTATTTTGTCTTTTTCCTGTTTTTATCCTTTGCATCTAGAACAGTGCTTGTACATTTAGGGCACACTATCAATGTTTTTTGAATAGATGCTTGAATGCTTGAGAGTGTGAGTGCATGAATGCATGAATGCATACATGAAAAGATCAGAAAAATGTTACCCCCAAATTGATGCTAATAAGAAGAATATCAATGACTTTACATATATATGCAGAGTTTGTGTGTATAATGGTACTTTCCAAATCCAAAGGAGATGGAAAAATCATTGCAATATAGCATATATGGAGAGGGGAGTGACCACACAACTGACTCGTACCATATGTGGCACAAGATTATGAGATCTGTGCTGATGAAAAGCAGAGTTGGGTAGTAGGAATTGATTGGTGAGATCTGGTAAAAAGGCAAAAGATTTATAAGATCTGAAGAGAAACCAGAGTATAATTGGTGAGATCTGGGTTTGTGAGAGAGATTCTATCTGTGGAATACATGAACATTTTGGTATTATTTCTTTTAAGCAAGATATTTTTCATTTTATTAATAAAATTTACGGTCAAGGTAAACCTTCATAAAAATGTTTATCTGAAGCATGTTCTCATTATTAAATGTTTTTCATTTTACGTAAAAAAATTAAAAATAAACCAGCTACGGCACCTCTAGTATGAAAGTTACATCGAACCAGTCATTTCATTCCCACGTGCCTTGGTTTCTTTCATGAGCAATTTTAAAGTGAGAGTAGCCCCTTCTAGTATTTAAGTTATGAAAGTGCTGTTATTATAAATTAGATAGTCTAAAATGGGTTACGATGTCTTTGAAAGATAAGCATTATTCACACATGGGGTATTATTATTTAGCTTTTTCTTTTTAATCCCATCAAATGAGAATTAGATGAAATATTCAGTGGGTAAGTGATTATTGACTTAACTGAAATGAAAAAAAAAAAAAATTTCCAGCTGAAAACTCAGTTTGTGCAGCCTAGCCTGTCTGTGTGCAGGTAAAGACAATATATTTATATGTGATGTTCGCCATTGTTCTTTATCTCCTCTCTGTACTCTAATCACAAACTGAAGACAGTTGAGCCTTTCAGTTCCGTCTTCATGGGCATTTTAGAGAACCTAGGTATCCGGGAACGATTACACTTTAGAAGTAACGTCTCCACTAATCAAACCATGCAGCTAGTTTTCTTACTGATTTAGAACCTAAATTAACTGTGGCAGGCCTTTGCTCCCACTCCTGGTTCTTAGCATAGGGATAGCTATTCCTGCAGCCGGCTCTTTCAGGTAATTACTGCTGAGGTCTATGTGCCCCTCATTGGCACCCCCAGGCTAGAGCTTTCTAATCTTCTTGGAATACAGGGATATGATGGCAGGAAAGAGGGGTGGTGGAAATAAGGTTTGAGGATTGTTGTGAATAGGCCTGAGAAATGAAACAGCACCGTGGGAGGATTCAGGGTAACAGCTGGTGGTGATGTACCCATCTGTACAGCATAATTGTGTCTGGGCCTCTATGTATATATAATAGATTCAGCCCATTTCTGGTTCTTTGGTTCCTGATCTTGGACTGCCCCCTATCCCTCCCCTCTTGGACCAACACTATCAGGTTCAAACCCCTTACAGAGTCCATTCATTATGTCATAGCTCACCTTCACTCCCTAGAACCAACCTTCAGCATTGCTTGCAGTTATGGTCATCTGTTTTCCACCTGACCCATTTATTTTGGCTCCTGGACTTTGCTCTCGGAGAGGCCCCCTGCTTGGATAGCTGCCTAGCCAGCTGCGGGGCCAGCTGCTTGTTCCAGACTCCAAGGTGACCAAACTCCCCTCCGTTCCCTCTGACTGGTCTCCATACATAAGCCTTGACGATATGTGGGAGACAATGCCAGTGTGACAATTTTGTGAGGCCAGATTTGTCCCTATGTAGGTCATCTCATCGGTGTGCTGCTCAGAGAGGTCAGGTGCACATTCATACCTGCCCGCAGGCCTTGGTCCAGGCGGCAGTGTGGACCTCAGAGGCCTAGTGACAGGAGCAAGTGCAGAAGAAGAGTCAGGAGGACAATGCAAAAGGCAGATCTGGTTTGCTTTGCAGTTTTGGCCAAGTCCGGTGTCCAACACACAGGCCATGTCCAAGAGCATTGCCATGAGGTCAGCTGCGCTAATGGCAAAGTGGTAAGGGATCTCAAAGATCCTTTAAGGTGAGCCTAATGGTGGCCCACTCCCCCCACCTTTGGGAAGGAAGTTTAGGGATGTATCTTCCACTCTTAAGGCAAAGTTTTTGAAACAGCTGTCTACAATCATTGGTTCCATTTCCTCCTCATTTCACTGTGACCTGACTTCTGCCTCCGCTAATCCTCCTCTGTTCCAAACTGGTCAACTACCTCTTTGATTAACACCTTGTGGCTGCTTCGCAGTCTTTTTCTTACCTGATCTGCCTTTGTTAAACACAAGCCTACTTCTTGAAACATGCTTTTCCCTCATCCTCTGGGTACCTCACACTTCTTGTATCCCTACTATCTCTCTGGCTACACCTTCTCACGCTCTTTCTTTTTTTTCAGGGACCCTTTCTCTGCCCATCCTTTAAGCTGTGGTGTTCTTCTGGGTGCTCTCCTGGGCCCTTTTCTCTGGCCCTACACACTCTCCCAGGGCATCTCACTCATCCCTGTGGAGTCTTGTCTGTCATGTACTTTTGACTCCTAAATGTGTATCCTCAAACTTCTGAATCAAACTGCTTACCATTGCTCGGTCAATGTTCCCCAGGCGTCACAAACCAAACATGGCCAGGGCTGAAATCATCACCTCTCCCCCAAATCTTCTCAGTTTTGTTTTTGTATCTTTGCTGTCTCAGTGAGTGACCTCACTATCCACCCAGTTGTTCAAGTCAAAAGCCCAATCCTCAGTCTTAACTTCTCTCTCTTCAAAACTCCAGCATTTAATCGATCACAAATTTCAGTCGATTCTACCTTGTCTATGACATGGCTTGTGATTTTAGCATATGTCGGCCCTGCTTATCTTTCCAGTCTTATCTCTGTCCACTCTGACTGGTAGTCTCTGCCTCAGCGATACTGAGCGGATACTCAGCAGGCATAATCATTTCTCTTCCAAAACTTGCATATGTTGCACCCTCCACCTGAAATACACTCCCTACCTCTTTATTTGACTAACCCCCTCACACCTTGTAAATCTCTGTGTAGAAGTTACTAACTTCCAGTTCTCCCAAAGTCTGGGTTAAATGACCCCTCCTAGAGTTCTTGGTACTTTTCTCTTCATAACACATTGCTTTGTAAGAGCAGCTTTCCTGTTCTAGCTTGCCTTCTACCATATTTGTCCTATTCAGCTTTGTATTCCTAACACCAACTAAGTATTTGGTGCCAAATAGGTGCTCGATGAATGAGTGAATGAATAGGAATGTCAAAAGTATCCTGGTGAAAATATAAAACACATTTCCAAACAGAGGAAGCAATTAGTATTTTACTAAACAAAGATTTGCCAAGTCCCTCTAACATCAGAGGGATTTAAAGATTAAAAATACTGCTGGACTCAGTGGTGCATGCCCTCATCCCAACTACTTCGGAGGCTGGGGCAGGAGGATCACTTGAGCCCAGGAGTGTGAGGCCAGCCTGTATATAGTGAGACCCTGTCTCCAGAAAGAAAAAGAAAAAGATTAATGATATTTGGGAGGCTATATCAACATTAGAATCATGTGCAGAGAGTGAGAGTAATTAACAAAGATAGATTTCAGATCTATCCTTTATGGGCTTCTTTTCCAGAGTTCAATATCCAGACTCTCTGAGCCACGTTTTGGGGTCACCCAAGCATTCCATCCTCCTGACTCTTCCTAAACTACTGGATGCATAACTCACGCCGTACTTGACAACATGGGGATCGAAATAAGGTAAGTGTTAAGTTTTTCAGTCTTTTTTCTCATTTGTTTATAATTTCCTCCTGGAACCTTCATCAGGAAATGTGGTTGGCTCCCAGGCCAGGGTAGTTGTTCTCAGAGTGCTTGAATGTCCTGTGCATACAAAGAAAGGTTGTGGAGTCTTCTGAGGAATTATATCCTTTCAAATTTTCTTTTTTCTTTCACAGTTGTTTAAATTCTTCATCATTACTCTATTGATTTGTTTCTAATGCGACTGCATAGAGGAAAGTGGATTTTGAGAAATCGGAAAGACTGGCTGCCCACTCTGGGACACCTTTGGGCCAAGGCCCATGGGGAATGCAGGACATGAGGGGTGCAGTCAACCTTCGAAAACAAACTCTGCATACAGGCAACCCCACCCCAGCCCCACTGTCAGGCGTCTCCGGCCCCTTTCCTGATTTTGTTTTTCATAACACGTAGTGTTCTTTGTTTATCTTCTTATTTGTTTACTATCTATCTCCCCTTCTAAAATGGGAGCTTCGCGAGGGCAGGGATGTTTTTGCTCAGCACTTGGAACAGTAACTGGTGCATAGAAGGCACTCAGTAAGTATTTGTCGATTGCATGAATGGTATCCTTAAAAGTTGTTGTTTTGTTAAGAGGCTGATGCACGCCCAGGTCTTTTGGGATCTCATATGAGTCTGGTTTGCAGCCCTGCCCCCCTTAACACTTTAATTGATGATTAAGATGGCAACATTGATGGCGTGTGAACAAATTTACAGATGACACACTCTAGAAAGGATAACAAATAGGTTGGAGGATACAGTCAGGACTCCCTGCCTCCAAATCCTAACAAAATGTAATAATGAATCACATCTAACAATATAAAGTTTAATGGGTACAAATCTAAAGTACTCAAAGATCCCAAAATCCAATTGTACAAGTACAGGGTGGGGGCGGCTCACAACTGCGCGCACGTCAGGAAGATTAAGAGTCTCCTGTTGATTGTAAGTAGAGGATGACTCAACACAGTGTGATGTGGCTTCTGCAAAGAATCAATCTTTTGTTGTATTAAAAGCAATATAGTGTTCAAGAGGGGAACTAGTTCTCTAGTACTCACTGGTGGTCAGACCACATTTGTTCTCTTTTGTGAGGCATTGATAAACAGAAGATTATTTGAGGAGAGTGAAAAGGATAATCAGGCATCTGGTAAACAGTGGTATTCAGAAATAACAAAAGGATCTAATGTGGTGTGTGGGTGTGTGAAGGAGAGGGTAATAAGTAGCTTATAGAGCTACCTTCTGAAGTTCGAGGGGCTATCTCACAGAGGAGAATTTCAGTTTCTTCTGGATAATCCTGAATGACAGATGGAGGACCGGTGAGTGGAAGATCCAAGTGTGTATATTTCAACTCACCAGAATTTAGCAACAATTAGATTTGCTTAAAAATCAGATGGACAACCACTGGAGGTAGTAAATTCCCTGACCCTGGTGATGTGGTGTGCAGAAACCGGGCCACCGTGCTCCATTTGCTGGGTACGTTTGTGATGGAAGTTCAAACGCTGAGGGAGTGGAGAGAGTAGCATTGATCAAAACAGCAAACACATATTGAGTGCGTACTTAATGGCGAGCACCATAGTAAGCGATTAACATGATTGTCATTTCTGTTAGTAACACATGAATCCTACTAGCTCCATCTTACAGATGAGGAAAGTAAGTCTTAGAGGGATTAAGTCATTGGCTCAAGGTCTTATATCTTGGTACAAAGCAGTTCTAGGATTTAAACCCAGGCAGGCAGATCCTTAACTTTAATTATTATTCTATAGAGACCTTTACTTCTAGAAAACCATTCTTTCCCACCCCGAGGTTCTATCATTGTAATGAAGTAATCAAACCAAGGAGTTTATTATCTCAAAAAGTAGATGATTCTATAGTAAATAGTTTCCTTGTCTATCTAGGATGCAGGGACTAAATGAGTCTAGGCATTTGCCACTTGTGGTCAACTATATGGAGCCTGGCATGGGGCCTGACACCATAGTAGGTGCTCAATATTCAGTAAGTGAAAAGAATGAACACATGCAACCATACATGACTGGCTGCATCTGAAATGAAGAATCTCAATATATTGCACCTGAAGAAAAACAAGCCCATTTCTGGGTGGTCTACTGAAGACGCGTAGCAAAAGTGATGAGCCAGCAGCATTCCTGACAAAAGCCTTGAGAATTCCTGCCTGATCGTTTGGATGACATTCATTTAAACAAATATTTATAGAGTACCAGTTCTGTGCCAGGTATGTCCAATGTGCTGAGGATGCAGAGGTGAGTCAGAGGATGCTCTGTTAGTGGGGTGGTGAAGCAAATCCTCATGACACACTGTGACAAGTGCTAGAACAGGTGTGTGTGTGTGTGTTAAGTATTATGGAAGCACAGAGCAGAAAGGAACTAATTCCATTTGGTTGAAGTGGAATTACTACTTATACTTGATTATGTTTTAAAAATAACTTCCACATGTTATGTTATTTGAGTTTATTCAGTCTTCATAAAGATCCTGTGAGATGGTGACCATTTCTTGTACAGAAGATGAAATAAAGTCTCATAGAGATTAGGTGAGGTCTCCAGCTAGTAATAATAATTGCTGACATTTATTGAGTGCTTAGGATATCTGAGACTCTGTTCTAAACCATTTTAGGACATTTCATCCTCGCAATAATTCTATTACTTAGTTATTGATATCATCACCATTTTACAAATAAGAAAACTGAGGCACAAAGTTTAAATAACTTGCCTAGAGTCACATAGGCAGGAAGTAGAAAACCAGGGTTTGTACCTGCACAGTCTCACTGTAGCAGGCACACACTGACCCACTGAACTAAATTGCTGTGACTAGTCCCCTGAAGAGCTGGAACTCACACATTTGGACTCTGACTTCGAGTTTAGTTTTCTTTCAAGTGACCTTGCTCTTTAGCAGGTAGTGCATCCAAATGAGAAGAAATGGTGACGTGGATACAAGGTTGGTTGTGTAGTCTGTGCATCCGTGGTGTTTTGGGAAAGGTATGGTGAAATCTACAACGTGCATTAACACAACCACTGACAAGCATTGTGGCGCAAGCTTTAGATTTTCTATGTTTTAGGTACACAGATTTTTCAGGGCAGCCAGAATTTGTCCTTTTGGTCAGCACTTTTGTCCGGGTCAGCACTCTGGGCTCTAGGGAGCATGACTCATCTCTCATTAGAACTAGCCATCACCACTTACCCTGCAGCCTTTTGAAATCTAGTTGACATTTTTCTAAAAAGAAGACAAGATGTAAGATATTAAGAATGAAACAACTTAAATTCAATAACTATATATCAGCAAGAATAGAGATATAGAAAAAGAGAAATAAAGCACATAATTGCTTAATTTGTCCAAGCTTTCTTTCCATTAAAAAAACTCCTGGATTGAAAAATAGTTCAATCCAACATTATTGTGCCTTAATAATTAAGTTAAGCTGGTTCTGTGGCAAATCTAACAAAGAAAGAATTGGTTTTTAACGTGACTCAAGTAGATTAGCCTTTCCTCAATAATTACTACTTAGGCTAATGTGGACATGACCTATGCAATCAAAGCTATTGTGTTTTTAAGATACCCGTCCCCCATAATTTTTGAAGATCTGGTAATTTTAAAATCAGCTGCAGGATTGGATTTCTGTGGTAGGTGGTGGGGCAGAAAATGTCAATGTTCTCTGGCATTTTTTCCTTCAAAGCGTATGGGATTTTTTGGTTTTGTTTGGTTTTTAGTGTTTTGTTATTTATGGAGACTTAGTAGATTCAACTGATTATCTTGGCCTATGTGTTTGTGGATTTCTATTTTCTTGGCTTCAGGTCCTTGGAAACATTTGTTTTGATGATGGCAGAAGAGTTAGTTTAGTCATGTTTTATTTTTGTTGTTCCTATTTATTTCTAATATCGTTTAGTTCAAGTCCACTTAGAAGGTATTGTGTAACCTGTCTTTATGTCTCCACAAATAAGTGTTCTTTGTAGTAACTCTAGCACAACCTTATAGGAATAGTTAATTCGATGCCCAGTCAATGCCCATCAAGATGATGATTCTGTAGTATTAGCAGCTAGAACAAGCGTACATTTTGGAAATTATATTTGAAATCTACAATTGGATTTAGCATTTAGCACGTGAAATTTCAAGTTTCTTAGATCAATTGTTCTTGAGTTGCCAAGTAGCCATCATCTTGTAAACATATTTTCCTTTTCATCTCAACAAAAGTTGGAAAATTCTTTTCTCACATATTCCATACTTTAAGCCTGAAGGTAAATTTCTTTTTTAAGAAACCACATCCCAAACAAACAGTTTTTCATAAAGCTGTGGGTAAATGAAGAGAGCAGGTTTGGCTGGCATTTGGGATGTATGTCTAATTAGAACTCTCAGTATTTCAGACATGTAATTTACTAAAGTTGAGGTTTTTAATTCTTAAGCTTGAGTTCGCTGGGATGAAACAAGTGACCCTTATCAGATATATGTCAGGAATCAACTTTCCCAGGTTGACTTTAAGTTTGTTGGTCACCAAATCAAAACACTGCTTAAAGATGTCTGACCCTTCTTAAGTTTGTTAAAAGACCAAGGCAGATGGCTACTCCTGCCTTGCTGCTATGAGGAACAGATTGCCCTTTCCCTTCCCCTTGATACTTTTAGTTGGTTTCTGCATGAGAGAGAGCATGCTCCACCCCCAGCTGGCCCCATCTTTGCCGCGATATTGAGTCACTTTGTACCTCCTGCACCTCTTCCTGGGGGTGAGGAGTAGCCTACCTTTGATAGATGGGTATCAGCCCCTGAACTGATTTGTCATACTTTCTAGTAAAAAGCTCAGTGCTAGGCACCAAAGACTGTTACAGATGTTCTCAGTCATCATTGTCCATAACATAAAAGTTGTAACACAAGATTTGGTAACTGGATTACTATTGTGACTTAGCAAGCAATTTAGTCTTTCTTTAAAATAACTATTTCAGTTGGACACAGTGGCTCACGCATATAATCCCAGTACTTTG